TGTCACCCCATCCTTGGGGTTCAAATTTGCTCTTTGAACCTATTGCTCAATAAACTTTGGTCTACAGCTATTTGCTCCAGTTGGCTGGACTCCTTCCTTTATTCCGCAGGGACCCGCGGGCTCTGCCCGACCAGCTGGGGGACTGAGCAGCCTCACACCTAGATGTTTTCCCTAACAGTTAGGTCCAGGTCCCACGAGCCCTGGGGGGGGGGCTGTTCGCAGGGAGTTCTCAGTCATTTGGGGTTCATCGCTCCACCGTGTTTGCGTTTGAATTTGCCAAAATTGTTCACCATGCCTTGTAAAGGAGCCCATTCCTCCTGTGAGTGTGACCCGCCCCCCCCCCCCATTATGAGCTCCTGCTTAAGTTGTTACACAGGGGGGACTCCCTGCCCTTCCAACATGTTGCAGGAGCCTTCAAGGAAAACACAAAGTGAGAAATCTCCTGTTTCCTCACAGCCTCAGTCCCCCTTGACCAAGATAGAGACAATAAAATACATAGACATACACAGAGCTGGGAGCCTCTTGTTGCATGGGGGTGGGGTCCCCACACTCACTCTCCCACGCACAGAGACACAGACTCACACACACAGCTGGCCCTCCAGCCCCAGCTCCCTTGGCTGAGCTGGAAACACAATTCTCAACGCAAAACACACAAAAAGAGATAGAGACAATAAAATACATAGACATACCCAGAGATGGGAGCCCGTTGTTGCCTGGGGTGGGGTGGGGGTGGGGGTGGTTTCTGTTACAAGAATTTTAAGGTCTTAGATATATAATAAATGTTCATAAACGTACCAAGCAAACACGTACATAAATATATAAACCACATGTCCGAAGCAGCACAGGAAGACAGTCCTGAAATCCTTTTGACTCCCCCGCTGACCAAATGTTTCTCTGCAAGGAAGGAGGAGGTGAAAAAAGCTATCTGAGGATGTACAAATTCCAACGCGCTTTAGTTCTGGGCTGCTTCACTCCTTGCATGAATTTTACCTGGGTGTCGGGGCTGTGTGCGCAAAAGCCAAAGCCCCATTTTTTGCGTAACACAGGAGTCACAGAGTCCAAGCCGCTGCTCAATGTACACCAGTACCTAAAACACGGACGGATCTATCTTGTGGCGTGGGGTGGATTTTGCAATGTAAACATTTTGGGGTGGGAGACCCCACTTTGCAAGTGGGTTGCCGGGATCTGCCCCTCTCCCGCTCTCCTGATCCCCAGAAGGAAGAAGGGAGGGGGAAAACCTTCCTTTCCTTCCACCACTCAGTTCCTCCCCTCCCGGCACATCCTTCTCTCACCCCGCCCACACAACCCCAAATCCCACCCCCATACATTGCACCTCCTCTTCCTCTTCCTCGCCATCCGGCTTCTGTTCCGGGAATGGGGAGGGGGGAAGAGCCCCCTCCCAAACTGCCTGCTTATCCCACAAGTGGAGCTTCTGCGCCGGATTGCTGCTCTGCCCCGCAGCTCTAGGGGCGCACGCTTTCGGAAAGGGGAGAAGGGTGGCAGGTAAATCCCCCCCTCCCATGTGGATGTTGCTGCAGGAAAGGAAAGGAGAATCGCGAGCGAGGACAAAGAGGTAAAGGGGTCTCAGGGGGAGGCGAGAGAAGGATCCAGAGACCCCCTCCAGGTCCCCAAAGCGCCTGTCGTGGATCTGGATCCCTGCACGCATGCTGTGAAGGGGGTTTTCCTTGGACCCTTAGGAAGCCCACCCAGGGGAACCCAACAAAGCCCCCTCGCCCCATTTCCCCGCGCAGGCATCCCTGGGACTGTTAACGGAAAAATCTGAGGGCTCCCTTGGACAAAAACAAAGACACCAACCAGTATAACTTGGAGCAAATCAGCAGCCTGTAGGCTTGGCCTTTATTGAACTGTTGCAACAGGGTCTCCCCTCACTTGCAGGAGAGTGGAAGGACTCTGAAAAATGGTGTGCAAGGCCTTATAAAAACTTTTGAAATTGCCACCCTGTTGATCAAGACCACCCCCAGAAACATCATACATACATCACAGAAAGGAGGGGTTGAGGGAGGGGTGGTGGTGGTAACCTGAGGTTCCTGTCACCTGGCTGGTTCCCCCTTCCCCCCTCCCCATGATTACTTTCCAGGTGACAGAGGGGAGTCTGCAGTTTCCTGTCCCCAGAGGGAAGATCTGATCATTGTCCTTTGTTCCAGTCCATGCTGAATCCACTCCCATATGCAAGTTCTTTGTGATCTTGATGGTCTTCTGTATAGGACCATCAGGGTCGGCATAGCAACTGGGCAGGGCTCCTGTGGATGTGCTGGGATGCTCAAGGGATTATGGCTGGCCTGTATCAAACCTTCCCCATTTTGTAGTCCTTCCTTCATGGAGTAAAATAAAAGTGGAACAGTGCAAATCCGATGTATGGTTGATTTTCTATGAATTTATAACAGAAGCGCAGCGTATGTAGTGTTTGAGTGTGAGTGTGTGTGAAGTTTGTACAAACTGAATGATGGGGGGGGGTCTCCTGCTACAGTTCCCCCGTTCGGAAATAAGATTGCAAAGGTGGCTACTTTGCAATCCTTTTCTCCACACAATTTAAGGTGGTAAATATTAACCTGCTATTCTCCGTCCCAGATGCGTGTGTCCATGTGAACCTGAAAGGGACTTGGATGTCATGCTTCTTAAGGATATTTGCATAGAAATATAACAGTGTAACAGTGCACATAGTTAGACATAGGATATCACGTAAAATTAATATTTTGTAGCTCAGTTACTTGTGGTATTCTAGCACCTTGGAAGAAATATTTTCTCAATAGTGGCCTATGCTTTTCATTTAGCAGGAAGGTCCACCAATAACTGAAAAATGCAGTTTGCTACAGGACTCTGTGGGTTCCACGTGGAGAGAGGTGGGCATTAAAGGGTTAAGGGGTGTGAGGGACGCCTGGATAGACCCCTCTGTGCTTCCTCTGCTCGTCTTGGGGGTGGGGTCCTCCGGATGGAGAGATGGGGGGCGCAGGGCGAGGGGTGAGCCGCGCCAAGGGGGGCCTCTGGGTGCAGGGGAAACTCTGCGAGAGATGGATGGAGTCGATGAAGTGGGGAGGGGGAGCATCCCTGGGGCAGGGAAGGGCAGCAATGGGCGGGGGGAGAGATAGGTAGACCAGTCTTTGGGGAGACGTCTCCGTGATGGGGCCCGCGGGGATTCTCTGGAGGGGCCGCCTTGGCTTCTCCCTCCCACCCAGGAATCGGCCACCCCTTCAAGGCAGCCAGAGGGATCCCTGGAAAGTGGGGGGTCGTGTCCCCCCACCCCTTCCTTCCTGCAACCTCTATCATCTTCGCACCCCATAAGCCCCTGCCCTGTCCAGACTGTTGCAGGAATCTATGTATAGGTTGGGGGTGGTTGCCCCTCCAGCAGATATCATGCACATGCAGCCCACCACCAAAATCAGCACCATCACTTTTGTGATTTCTTCCCACAAAGCACTTGATCACACTTTCTTCCTATCTATTCAAAGGACCTCTGCTGCACAATACCAAATGTATGAATTCACTGATAAATGTCTCTATGTACTGGCTCACTGGGGTAACTTCAGAAATTCCTATAGACATGTGAGCTCAGCTACTCAGCAGCCCCTCTGCCTGAGTGATAATCCCTGGCATCCTGATACCTGAGTGCCAGACAGGTAGCCTTTCCAGAAAGAACCAACCCAGATGAAGGCAAAAGGGTGGGATTAACTTGGCTGGGAAACAGGTCAGGGAGGACAATGGATGGCCGGCTGGGGGTGGGGCAAAGGCCAAAGAATGGAGGCCGAGCCCTTTCTCCAAGCCCCTTTTGGTTTTCTTCCTTCCAGGATCAGGATCCTCAGGAACGTGTCCTGGTGGCCAGATTAAGGTAAATTCTGGCCTGATTGGAAGGGACATGGCCCCTCCACCAGGCTAGGCTGCAATTTTGTGGCTTTTCTTTCTGGGCGGGCGCCCAGATAGGCCAGGGGGGAAACCTTTTTGTTTTGCGGTGGCGGGGGGGGGGCATAGCCATCCACCACCCTCTAGCTGTAGGCCGCATGCCGGCCATTTCCCTTCTGGGGGGGGGGGAATAAGTCAGGCCACATGGCGGTCATGTTTGTTTGCACTTCCTCCCCCCTTGTTCCACTCTGGCTACTGACGCACTTCTGCTCCTAGAAGGGAAATGTAAATATCTCTTTTCTTTCACCTGATAGATGTTTGGTGGAGGGCAAGGGGAACCATGGGGCAGGGTCCAGGATGCTCAGATTACAGCCACCACACCTCCCCTTTCATAATGTATTTTGGGGACTCTAACATTGGGATTAGCAGCTAATAAAATTTTGGGTTCTCTTTTGTTCGGGGCTTCCATCTTGTTCCACCTGGTGGCAGGTGGGAGTCCTGTCGCGACCGTCTTCAATAAATACCAAGCCTACTGGCTGCTGTTTTGCTCTGGTATTCCTGGCTGGTGTCCTTGTTTTTTGTCCAGGGGGCCCCTCAGATTTCTCCATTAGCAAGACGCACCTTCCTTCCTGCAAGCTTCACTCGCTTCCCACCCCATAAGCCCCTGCCCTGTCCAGATAATAATAATAATAATAATAATAATAATAATAATAATAATAATAATAATAATAATTTATATCTCACCATTCCCCGGGCGAAGCCGGGCTCATGATCAATTAATTAAAATGCATTCTAAAAGCAACTCATTCTAATATAAAATCAAAATCAAATTAATGGCAGATACAGCAATTCTGCCCGGTCCAACCATTGTTCCCCCTGGAGAGGAGAGGAAATCCCCAGAGGAAGAGGGGAGGGGGGAGGCCTTCTCAGAAGCGGCTCTTGGTTTCCTCAATCCCACCCAGGAAGCAGCCAGAAACCTTTTCCTCTCTCTCAGGCTTCCATCTTTAAGCGTCTCTTCTCTGCATGGTTCATTGAAGATGTACACCTGTTGTCAGGAACAGGGGTGCCGAGTCCATGGAATGGCTCTCAGGATTGATATAGAAGTTGCATCTCAAAGGCATTTTTGTTCCTCTAACTTTTTGTAGGCAGTGTCAGACTGACAGACAAGCTGAGATACAATCCATCAAAATTCAATGACAGCGGCTGCGTGAATCTTCCCAGTCAAAGGACCCATTTTCATGAGAGACAGCCCCCGTGGCTGGAGGCTCAACCCCCAGGGTGTGCCTATACAGGCCAAAGACTGCCAGCATTAGCACAGGTGAGGTGTGTGACCCCCCTCCCCAATCGACAGGCTGTGTGTAAATGAGAGTTTGTGGGTGGGATTATTGTTTACGCCAACTCTGTTGCTCCCACAAGGGAGCACCCAGGGGTCAGAACACTCCTCTCCCAAGACCACTTTCTGAACAAGGCCCAGGAGGAAGGAGGGGAACCACTGCAGAGCAGGGCCCCCAGCTCCCCTAGAGGGTCCAGAAGGACACCATGGCCAAAGGTCTCCAAAGCCGCTTAGAGATCCAGCAGAACCAGGAAACAGTTTTCCCCTCGGACTCTAGCACATCGGAGATCATCATCCAGTGCAACCAGTGCTGTTTTAGTCCCATGATGAGGCCTGAATCCCAATTGGAAGGATAATGGTGGAAGAAGCTTTCCTGCTGTTCCAGGTACCCCCCTCCCCAGTCATTCAGTTTGTACTTACACGACACACACAACATAGACGACGTTTTTCTTATAAATTTATAGTAAATCAACTGTACATCAGATTTACCGTATTTCCCCCTCTATAACACACAGATTTTTTCTCCTAAAAAGTAAGGGGAAATGTCCATGCATGTTATTGAGCGAATGTGTGGACCCTGGAGCCGACTGGCCCGAGTGCATCACACATTTTCTTCGAGGGTCGTCTTCATTGCGGTCAGCAGAAGCCAGGGAAGTGCTTGCTAGGAGGTTTGGCCACTCTGCAGCACGACTGTGTTTTTGCTAGTGTGTGTGCTTTGTGAGTGTGTGGTTGCCTGTGTTTGTTCGCTAGCGTGGGTGCTTGGAGGGAGTGAGAGAGTGACGGACTGCTGCATCTTCTCCTGCAATTTGCCTTTTAAAAAATTGGAAGCAGCGGGGCACTAAAAACCCCTCCCCTCCAGGCAAGCAGAGGGGAAAGCAGAGCGTCCTTCCTTCTAATTCCTCTCCGTGCTGTGCTCTGGTGCTGCTGCTGCGTCTAGGGACTCGCAGGCAACATGCAGGTGGGGGGGGGAGAGAGAGAGAGAGCTGGCTGGCTTGGGTGGGTGGGTGGGTGGGTGGGGGAACTTTTGCCTTCCTTTCCTCCCTCCGGTAAAACCCCTCTCCTGCATTCTTAGCCAGCTGTTTCTCCGCACACCCCTCTCGGTGCTCCTTGCCCCTTCTATGTTTTTCCTTCCCTCCCCACTTAAAACATGGTTACAAAGCACGGATCCTCAGGATCTTTGCATTGGGTCACCCCAAATTCACCATCAGATCACATAGCAATAATCTGATGCAAAAACAGGGCTGCAATGGTGCAAAAACGTGGTTACAAAGCACGGATCCACATGGATCCTCAGGATCTTTGCATTGGGTCACCCCAAATTCACCATCAGATCACATAGCAATGAACTGATGCAAAAACAGGGCTGCAATGGTGCAAAAAAGTGGTTACAAAGCACGGATCCACATGGATCCTCAGGATCTTTGCATTGGGTCACCCCAAATTCACCATCAGATCACATAGCATATCCATGGCTACAGCCTGAAACCAAAAAATCACGCACCCACTGTTGCCTGGGGCTGCAATGGTGCAAAAACTTGGTTACAAAGCACAGATCCACATGGATTAACAGGATTTTTGCATTGGGCTAACCCAAACTCACCGTCAAATCACATGTCTGTGGCCACAGCATGAAGCACAAAAATGATACATCCACTGTTTCATTCAGATATTTTTCTTCTTGTTTTCCTCCTCTAAAAACTATGTGCGTGTTATAGAGCGAAAAATACAGTACACCGGTCCACTTTTATTTTGCTCCATGAAGAAAGGACTATCAAAGGGGATAGGTTTAATACAGGGTGGCCATAATCCCTTGAGCATACCAGCACATCCACAGGAGCCCTGCCCAGTTGTCATGCCAACCCTGATGGTCCCAGACATCAGACCATCAAGGTAACAAAGAACTTGCATATAGGAGTGGATTCAACATGGACTGGAGCAAAGGACAATGATCAGCTCTTCCCTCTGGGGGGCAGGAAACTGCAAACTCCCCTTGTCACATGGAAAGTACTCATGGGGAGGGGGAAAGGGGGAACCGGCCAGGTGGCAGGACACTCAGGTTACCACCACAACTCCTCCCTCAACCCCTCCTTTTTGTGATGTATCAGTGATGTAGTTGTGATGTAGTTTTAGGGGTGTAGTTTGAGGAATTAGTAACTAATAAAAGTTGGGGTCTTCTTTTGTTGTGGGCTTCCATCTTGTTTCACCTGGTGGCAGGTGGGAGTCCTGTCGCGACAGTTTTCAGTAACGACCAAGCCTCCTGGCTGCTGTTTTGCTCTGGTATTCCTGGCTGCTCTCCTTGTTTTTTGTCCAAGGGAGCCCTCAGATTTCTTCATTAACACTGGTCCTGCACCCCCAAAAGCTCCAGGCACAAGACTTTCATTAGCATTGAAGGGGGCCATCGGATACTTGGTGATCTTTTCTTCAAAAGACAAATATTCTGAATAATTTTTAATTGATGTATGATATAAACAGCACTTCTGTTTACATATTCCACATTGGAGAGATTTTGATACACAGGTCTGAGTTCATCGCTCCCCCCGAAACTGCTGTGTTAGCAGTCCTGCCAGCCTGGACAGTGTGTTTGGGGTTCAGGGCTGCCTAGACAACAAGACCCCCTTCTCAGCCTGGCTTATATGGTCCCAAGGAAAGCAGAGCAGTACGTTAGGCACCAGCTTGGCTGCAGGAGTTGAATGAAGAAGATGTGCAGGACACCATCCAACTGTCTTAGAGAGTCCACTCTGGATTTGTGTAATTTCTCCTCCATAGCCTTTTCTTCTCCTGAAGATAACTCACGAGGAAGCGAAGGAGTGCACCAAAGTATTACGACCAAAGTTTTCCTTCTCGAGGAGCTCCCTTCCCAGGTTGATGAGCCCCATCTGCCCTTCGCTTTCCTCTGCAGAATGGGCAGAATCTGCCTTCTTGACTGTGGGATTCACTGTTGTTCTCATCCTCTCCATCCACCAGGGCCTTTCTTCACCTGCAGCAGAATTCCCCAACCCACCAAGAATTTGAGACCCATCAGATATCCTCACCTGGTTTAGCCGGTCGGTTGAAGCTGTTCCTGGGATTGTGGCCCCTATTCCATCCTGACAGCTTCTGGAAGCCACAGGTGAGAGCTGACTGCAGGGTGGGGACCACTGGTGGATAAATTACCCCATAAGGTGCATGACATTTCCCCCACCAAAGGTACTACCGCTCCCCTAACACCCCATGACATCGTATGATTATGATCTTTAAGACAGAACAGGAATAAATTCATGTCCCCTTCAAGCCATTAATGAATCAATACTACATTTTCAAGATACTACACATTCCACTAAGTACAGTTTATCTATTTGCCTTGAATATCCTGCTTTTCGGTGTCTTTTTAGGATAGTCCTGCATCAGAAGACGGGCACAAGATCAGACAGCACATCGTTCTTTAAAATATCAAGCTGCTTTATTAACATTGATTGAAGATTTTGAAAGTTGCTCATAAATTACTATCATTTGACATTGCAACTTCACTTGGGAACATGGGTAGGAGGTGAGGGAATGTAGGAGATGTTGAAATAGGAGAAGGTGCAAATGGAGCTTGATGTGTTCTCTTTCCCTTTGTTCTCTTCCTTGAAACCAAAATAGGGTTCCCTTTCCTCCCACTCTGAAGAAGGAGATGGAGAAGACAGTCAGAACTCCAGGGGATGGGGCACAATTCCTCCCCATTAGGGATAGAAATTAAAATGTGTGAAATGCGGAATATGCATCATTGAATGAGCACACATAGTTCACATCAATGACCTCCAGCAGGGGAGAAACCGTTTAAAGGTATGGAGTGTGGGAAACGTTTCACTGATATTGGAAAACTTAGAACAAATCAGCGGACTCAGATGGGCAGGAAAGGACTGCAATGCGGGGAGTGTGGGAAGAACTTCAGTCAACATGGACACTTAAGATTACATCAACGGACTCACACAAGGGAAAAAACTTTTAAATGTCTGGATTGTGGAAAGAGCTTCTATCGGAGTGATAAACTTAGGAGACATCAACAGATTCACACGGGGGAGAAACCATTTAAATGCATGCAGTGCGGAAAGAGCTTTTCTAATAATGAAAACCTTAGAAGACATCAACGGACTCACACAGGAGAGAAACCATATAAATGTATAGAGTGCGGAAAGAGCTTTTCTAATAATGAAAACCTTAGAAGACATCAACGGACTCACACAGGAGAGAAACCATTTAAATGCCTGGAGTGCGGAAAGAGCTTTTCTAATAATGAAAACCTTAGAAGACATCAACGGACTCACACAGGAGAGAAACCATTTAAATGCCCGGAGTGCGGAAAGAGCTTTTCTAATAATGAACACCTTAGAACACATCACCGGACTCACACAGGACAGAAACCATTTAAATGCCTGGAGTGCAGAAAGAGCTTCAGTCGGAATGGAGACCTTAGAACACATCAACGGACTCATACAGGGGAGAAACCATATAAATGTATGGAGTGTGAGAAGAGTTTTCGTATTAGTGAAAGCCTTAGAAGACATCAACGGATTCACACAGGGGAGAAACCATATAAATGCCTGGAGTGCGGAAAGAGCTTCAGTCAGAGTGGACACCTCAATATACATCTACAGACTCACACAGGGGAGAAACCATATAAATGTATGGAGTGCGGAAAGAGCTTTAGTGATAATGGAAACCTTAGAAGACATCAACGGACTCACACAGGGGAGAAACCATTTAAATGTTTGGATTGTGGAAAGAGCTTCAGTCAGAATGGAGAACTTAAATTGCACCAGAGGATTCACACAGGGGAGAAACCATTTAAATGTTTGGAGTGTGGAAAGATCTTTAGTGATAATGGAAACCTTAGAAGACATCAATGGACTCACACAGGGGAGAAACCATTTAAATGTTTGGATTGTGGAAAGAGCTTCAGTCAGAATGGATAACTTAAATTGCACCAGAGGATTCACACAGGGGAGAAACCATATAAATGTATAGAGTGCGGAAAGAGCTTTAGTGATAATAGACACCTTAGAAGACATCAACGGACTCACACAGGAGAGAAACCATTTAAATGCCTGGAGTGCGGAAAGAGCTTTACTGATAATGAACACCTTAGAAGACATCAACGGACTCACACAGGGGAGAAACCATTTAAATGCTTGGAGTGCGGAAAGAGCTTCAGTCAGAATGGAATCCTTAGAAGACATCAACGGACTCACACAGGGGAGAAACCATATAAATGTCTGGAGTGCGGAAAGAGCTTTTCTGATAATGAACACCTTAGAAGACATCAACGGACTCACACAGGGGAGAAACCATTTAAATGCCTGGAGTGCGGAAAGAGCTTTTCTGATAATGAACACCTTAGAAGACATCAACGGACTCACACAGGGGAGAAACCTTTTAATTGCATTGAGTGTGGAAAGAACTTCAGTCAGAATGGAATCCTTAGAAAACATCAGCAGACACACAGGGGAGAAACTGTTTAAATGTATGGCCTGTGGAAGGAGCTTCAGTCAGACTGGAACCCTTGATTTATGTCAACAAACTCACACAAAACACAAACCTTATAAATATCAGGAAAGTAGATAGAGGTTCAGTCCTAGTACAAGATCTAAATCAACAGATTCACAGACAGGAAGAACTTTAGGAGTTGAAGCCATACAAACAATCAACAAACTCAAAGAGGAGAAGCAGTTTAAATGAAAAGATTGCAAAAGTGCTTTATTTACATACACTTCAGGTTACAGACTCTGCTAACCCAGAAATAGTACCTTGAGTTATGTACTTTGCTTCAGCATGAGAACAGAAATGGTGCTCCAGTGGCGTGGCGGCTGCAGGTGGCCCCATTAGCTAAAGTGGTGCTTCAGGTTAAGAACAGTTTCAGGTAAAGAACAGACCTCTGGAACAAATTAAGTACTTAACCCGAGGTACCACTGTATGGTTGTAAACCAAGGTTCCACTGTATACCCCCAAAGGCTATAAAAACTCCTAGGTCTGGCCAATAAACTCAGGAGCCAGGAGGAGATAAGAGTCCGACAATTTTATTACAGGCCGTCAGTATTGGGAATGGGAAAGGACCTTTCAACTTTTTAAAGAAAATTATGGGATGAGAGACTACTCAACAGCCCAGCTCGCCAGGGTACAAGTCCCCTGTGGGTCCATGCGGTCAGTAAATGAAGGAAATTCCAGCCAAGCAATTTGGAGCAAAGAGCAGTCAGTAGACTGAGAAACTTTATTGTTGTGCAACAGGTTCAAACAGCAGTGAGGGAACTCTGACCCTGGGGCGACATTGACTTTTTAAACTTTCCCACCAAATCCCAGGATACAGTTCGCACAGCATCATCAATGCATCATTGCTACATCACTAAAACGTCAGAAAGGGGAGGATTACACAAGATTAGCATAGACAGATATGTCAGGGCAACACCCAAGTACAATATTAGGCAAACATGTCTCAAGTACCCACCACCCAAAAGGACAACAGAACTTCCTTTAATGTCTGCAGCCTGGTGAGATTTGGCTGGTGATGAGATTTGGCTTCCCTTGGCTAACAGTGAGCCCAGCAATTGTCACCTCTGAGCATTTCCTGGGGTAGGAGGTGTGTCTACACATCTTCACCCTTGGGGAGGTGGTGCTGGTTTCTGTGTGTTGCCACTGTGCCATGCTCTTGGAGTCACAAGACTCTGTTTTGCATTCCAGAGACATTCCAGACTGTTGGAAGTCTCACGGAAGACAGGAGACGGATGTGATGTTACTGTTTCCTGTTCCTTTGTTTTTCAGTTGCTCTCTGCTTTCACAGAGAGAGCATGTATATTTCTTTTCTGTCTGCGTAGTTAGAAATAAAACTCTTTAGCGATGTAGCTAATAAACGTCTCGTCCTTCCCTGCGTTCTGGATACTCTGCTGAATGGGGAGTGTGCTTGGAGCCTCATCAAAGGCTCAGGTCATTAATCATCATCGGAGGAGCTCGGTCGAACCCAAGTCGGACAGGTGGCAGGAAAAAGAGTCCTTTTTCCAAGGGCAAAATAACTTTGGAATGGAGGAAACTGGCAAAGGAGTTGATTTTATATGATTTTTTTAAAGCTAGGTATCTTCCCTGAGCTGTCAAGCCAAAAGGATACATTCAGGCATAATATTTGTAACATTTAACAACTTTAAGGATGTGCCCCACCCCGCCTTGTAATTTCTGTAACAAATACTTTCCTGAGATTTTTTTCTTTTGGGGTGTGTGTCACAGTTCAGCTTCATTCAGAAGAAAACATTGCTAAAGGAGGGGAAATATAAAATGCACATTGAAAACAGCATAATCAGGAAGAGAATAAAATATGATCATAATCCTAGAACACAGACTATATCTTGCTTTTCACCACTTCTGGGTCTTAGAGCAGCTTCCCCCTTCTTTCCTCACAGCCTCAGCCCCTCTTGGCCGATATAGAGACAATAAAATACTTAGACATACACAGAGCTGGAAGCCGGTTATTGCGACGGGGGGGGTTCTCCCCCCCTCTCTCTCTCTCACACACAAGGTGGCCCTCCAGCCCCAGCTCCCCTGGCTGAGCTGGAAACACGAGTCTCAATGCAAAGCACACAAAAAGAAAGCTCTTTCCCCCAAAAGTGCAATTTAACTGCTAGCAAAACACACAGAGCGCCCCCCCCTTTTCCCTGAGACAGGCACAGAGCTGACAGCCCACGGCTCCCTCCATTTCAAGGAACGGGGGTCCCGCACAGCCCTCAGGGCACCTCAGCATCCCATAGATTGCTTTCCTCCGGTGGGGAGGGGGACTATTTTGCTTGCTGAGGGCAGGAGTCACACCCTTGTCACATTGCGGGGTATCAGGCTTTTAGGCAAGGGGGTGAGGCTTGGGTGGGCCAGTCCTGTTCACAGTGCATTCTCAGTCCTTTGGGGTTCATCGCTCCACCACAACCCCACTTTCCCACACCTTTTAACTACCCTCTTCCCCAAAGCACCACAACAGTATTCACACATCCCCCTAGCTGCAAGGCTTCCCTGCGCTTCGCCTTGGAAAGTATCAGGATTCAATCCCCCATCCCGATGGATTTCTGTCTTGACTGCGCCCCCCCCCCTTCCTGGATTTAACAGCAGCAATACCTAAAACACGGGGGGATCTAAGCTCCTGGCGTGGGGTGGGGGAGGGAAGGATTTTGCAATATAAACATTGTGGGGCGGGGTACCCCACTTTTCAAGTGGATTGCCGGGATCAACCCCTCCCCCATTCTCCTGATTCTCAGGAGGAAGAGGGGAGGGGGGACACCTTCCTCTGCTCCCCGCCCCCCAAATTCCACCCTTCCCAGACCCCGCCTCCGCAAAGCCCAAATCCCCTCCCCAATATGTTGCTCCTCTTCCTCGCCATCCGGCTCCTGCTTCGGGAAAGTGGGGGCGGGGTGAGCCCCCCTCCCAACCTGCCTGCTTCTCCCGCAAGTGGAGCTTCTGCGCCGGATTGCTGCTCTGCGCCGTAGCTCTAGGGGGGCGCGCTTTCGGAAAGGGGAGGAGGGGCGGCAGGTAAATCCCCCCCCCACCCACGTGGATGTTGCAGGAAAGGAAAGGAGAATCGGGAGCGAGGACAAAAAGGTAAAGGGGTCGCGGGGGGGGGGGGGAAGGGGAGAGAAGGATCCAGAGACCCTGCCAGCTCCCCAAAGCGCCTTTCGAGGATCTGGATCCCTGCACGCGTACAGCGAAGGAGGTTTTCCTTGGACCCTTAGGAAGCCCACCCAGGGGATCCCACGAAGCCCCCTCGACCCATTTCCCCGCGCAGGCATCCCTGGGACTCTGTGGGTTCCGCGCGGAAAGAGGTAGGCCATGAAAGGGTTAAGGGGCGTGAGGGACGCCTGGATAGTGACCCCCTGTCCTCCCCTGCTCGTCTTGGGTGGGGGGCCCTCCGGAGGGAGAGATGGGGGCGCAGGGAGTGGGGTAAGCCGCGCCAAGGGGGGCCTCTGGGTTCAGTGGAGACTCTGGGACAGAGGGAGGGAATCGAGGAAGTGGGGAGGGGGAGCATCCCTGGGGCAGGGAAGGGCAGAATTGGGGGGGGGGGGAGAGATAGGAAGCCAGTCTTTGGGGAGCCTATCCATAGTGGCTCCCGTGGGGAATCTCCGGAGGGTCCGCCTTGGCTTCTCCCTCCCACCCAGGAATCGGCCACCCCTTCAAGGCAGCCAGAGGGATCCCTGGAAAGTGGGGGATCGTGTCCCCCCACCCCTTCCTTCCTGCACCCTCTATCCTCTTTACACCCCATAAGCCCCTGCCCTGTCCAGACTGTTGCAGGAATCTATGTATAGGTTGGGGGTGGTTGCCCCTCCAGCAGATATCATGCACAGGCAGCCCACTACCCAAATCTGCACCATCACTTTTGTGATTTGTCCCCACAAAGCACTTGATCACAGTTTCTTCCTATCTATTCAAAGGGCCTTTGCTGCACAATACCAAATGTAAGAATTCACTGATAAATGTCTCTATGTACTGGCTCACTGGGGAAACTTCAGAAATTCCTATAGACATGTGAGCTCATATACTCAGCAGCCCCTCTGCCTGAGTGATAATCCCTGGCATCCTGATACCTGAGTGCCAGACAGGTAGCCATTCCACAAAGAACCAACCCAGATGAAGACAAAAGGGTGGGATTAACTTGGCTGGGAAACAGGTCAGGGAGGACAATGGATGGCCGGCTGGGGGTGGGGCAAAGAAAGGAGGCCGAGCCCTTTCTCCAAGCCCCTTTTGGTTTTCTTCCTTCCAGGATCAGGATCCTCAGGAGCGTGTCCTGGTGGCCAGATTAAGGTAAATTCTGGCCTGATTGGAAGGGACATGGCCCCTCCACCAGGCTAGGCTGCAATTTTGTGGCTTTTCTTTCTGGGCGGGCGCCCAGATAGGCCAGGGGGGAAATCTTTTTGTTTTGCGGTGGCGGGGGGGGCATAGCCATCCACCACCCTCTAGCTGTAGGCCGCATGCTGGCCATTTCCCTTCTGGGGGGGGGAATAAGTCAGGCCACATGGCGGTCATGTTTGTTTGCACTTCCTCCCCCCCTTATTCCACTCTGGCTACTGACGCACTTCTGCTCCTAGAAGGGAAATGCAAATATCTCTTTTCTTTCACCTGATAGATGTTTGGTGGAGGGCAAGGGGAACCATGGGGCAGGGTCCAGGATGCTCAGATTACAGCCACCACACCTCCCCTTTCATAATGTATTTTGGGGACTCTAACATTGGGATTAGCAGCTAATAAAATTTTGGGTTCTCTTTTGTACGGGGCTTCCATCTTGTTTCACCTGGTGGCAGGTGGGAGTCCTGTCGCGACCGTCTTCAATAAAGACCAAGCCTACTGGCTGCTGTTTTGCTCTGGTATTCCTGGCTGGTGTCCTTGTTTTTTCTCCAGGGGGCCCCTCAGATTTCTCCATTAGCAAGACGCACCTTCCTTCCTGCAAGCTTCACCCGCTTCCCACCCCATAAGCTCCTGCCCTGTCCAGATAATAATAATAATAATAATAATAATAATAATAATAATAATAATAATTTATATCTCACCATTACCCGGTCGAAGCCGGACTCATGATCAATTAATTAAAATGCATTCTAAAAGCAACTCATTCTAATATAAAATCAAAATCAAATTAATGGCAGATACAGCAATTCTGCCCGGTCCAACCATTGTTCCCCCTGGAGAGGAGAGGAAATCCCCAGAGGAAGAGGGGAGGGGGGAGGCCTTCTCAGAAGCGGCTCTTGGTTTCCGCAATCCCACCCAGGAAGCAGCCAGAAACCTTTTCCTCTCTCTCAGGCTTCCATCTTTAAGCGTCTCTTCTCTGCATGGTTCATTGAAGATGTACACCTGTTGTCAGGAACAGGGGTGCCGAGTCCATGGAATGGCTCTCAGGATTGATATAGAAGTTGCATCTCAAAGGCATTTTTGTTCCTCTAACTTTTTGTAGGCAGTGTCAGACTGACAGACAAGCTGAGATACAATCCATCAAAATTCAATGACAGCGGCTGCGTGAATCTTCCCAGTCAAAGGACCCATTTTCATGAGAGACAGCCCCCGTGGCTGGAGGCTCAACCCCCAGGGTGTGCCTATACAGGCCAAAGACTGCCAGCATTAGCACAGGTGAGGTGTGTGACCCCCCTCCCCAATCGACAGGCTGTGTGTAAATGAGAGTTTGTGGGTGGGATTATCGTTTACGGCAACTCTGTTGCTCCCACAAGGGAGCACCCAGGGGTCAGAACACTCCTCTCCCAAGACCACTTTCTGAACAAGGCCCAGGAGGAAGGAGGGGAACCACTGCAGAGCAGGGCCCCCAGCTCCCCTAGAGGGTCCATAAGGACACCATGGCCAAAGGTCTCCAAAGCCGCTTAGAGATCCAGCAGAACCAGGAAACAGTTTTCCCCTCGGACTCTAGCACATCGGAGATCATCATCCAGTGCAACCAGTGCTGTTTTAGTCCCATGATGAGGCCTGAATCCCAATTGGAAGGATAATGGTGGAAGAAGCTTTCCTGCTGTTCCAGGTACCCCCCTCCCCAGTCATTCAGTTTGTACTTACACGACACACACAACATACACAACGTTTTTCTTATAAATTTATAGTAAATCAACTGTACATCAGATTTACCGTATTTCCCCCTCTATAACACACAGATTTTTTCTCCTAAAAAGTAAGGGGAAATGTCCATGCGTGTTATTGAGCGAATGTGTGGTCCCTGGAGCCGACTGGCCTGAGTGCATCACACATTTTCTTCGAGGGTCGTCTTCATTGCGGTCAGCAGAAGCCAGGGAAGTGCTTGCTAGGAGGTTTGGCCACTCTGCAGCACGACTGTGTGTTTGCTAGTGTGTGTGCTTTGTGAGTGTGTGGTTGCCTGTGTTTGTTCGCTAGCGTGGGTGCTTGGAGGGAGTGAGAGAGTGACGGACTGCTGCATCTTCTCCTGCAATTTGCCTTTTAAAAAATTGGAAGCAGCGGGGCACTAAAAACCCCTCCCCTCCAGGCAAGCAGAGGGGAAAGCAGAGCGTCCTTCCTTCTAATTCCTCTCCGTGCTGTGCTCTGGTGCTGCTGCTGCGTCTAGGGACTCGCAGGCAACATGCAGGTGGGGGGGGGGAGAGAGAGAGAGCTGGCTGGCTTGGGTGGGTGGGCGGGTGGGTGGGGGAACTTTTGCCTTCCTTTCCTCCCTCCGGTAAAACCCCTCTCCTGCATTCTTAGCCAGCTGTTTCTCCGCACACCCCTCTCGGTGCTCCTTGCCCCTTCTATGTTTTTCCTTCCCTCCCCACTTAAAACATGGTTACAAAGCACGGATCCTCAGGATCTTTGCATTGGGTCACCCCAAATTCACCATCAGATCACATAGCAATAATCTGATGCAAAAACAGGGCTGCAATGGTGCAAAAACGTGGTTACAAAGCACGGATCCACATGGATCCTCAGGATCTTTGCATTGGGTCACCCCAAATTCACCATCAGATCACATAGCAATGAACTGATGCAAAAACAGGGCCGCAATGGTGCAAAAAAGTGGTTACAAAGCACGGATCCACATGGATCCTCAGGATCTTTGCATTGGGTCACCCCAAATTCACCATCAGATCACATAGCATATCCATGGCTACAGCCTGAAACCAAAAAATCACGCACCCACTGTTGCCTGGGGCTGCAATGGTGCAAAAACTTGGTTACAAAGCACAGATCCACATGGATTAACAGGATTTTTGCATTGGGCTAACCCAAACTCACCGTCAAATCACATGTCTGTGGCCACAGCATGAAGCACAAAAATGATACATCCACTATTTCATTCAGATATTTTTTTTCTTGTTTTCCTCCTCTAAAAACTATGTGCGTGTTATGGTCAGGTGCGTGTTATAGAGCGAAAAATACAGTACACCGGTCCACTTTTATTTTGCTCCATGAAGAAAGGACTATCAAAGGGGATAGGTTTAATACAGGGTGGCCATAAACCCTTGAGCATACCAGCACATCCACAGGAGCCCTGCCCAGTTGTCATTCCAACCCTGATGGTCCCAGACATAAGACCATCAAGGTAACAAAGAACTTGCATATAGGAGTGGATTCAACATGGACTGGAGCAAAGGACAATGATCAGCTCTTCCCTCTGGGGGCAGGAAACTGCAAACTCCCCTTTGTCACATGGAAAGTACTCATGGGGAGGGGAAAAGGGGGGAACCGGCCAGGTGGCAGGACACTCAGGTTACCACCACAACTCCTCCCTCAACCCCTCCTTTTTGTGATGTATCAGTGATGTAGTTGTGATGTAGTTTTAGGGGTGTAGTTTGAGGAATTAGTAACTAATAAAAGTTGGGGTCTTCTTTTGTTGTGGGCTTCCATCTTGTTTCACCTGGTGGCAGGTGGGAGTCCTGTCGCGACAGTTTTCAGTAACGACCAAGCCTCCTGGCTGCTGTTTTGCTCTGGTATTCCTGGCTGCTCTCCTTGTTTTTTGTCCAAGGGAGCCCTCAGATTTCTTCATTAACACTGGTCCTGCACCCCCAAAAGCTCCAGGCACAAGACTTTCATTAGCATTGAAGGGGCCATCGGATACTTGGTGATCTTTTCTTCAAAAGACAAATATTCTGAATAATTTTTAATTGATGTATGATATAAACAGCACTTCTGTTTTACATATTCCACATTGGAGAGATTTTGATACACAGGTCTGAGTTCATCGCTCCCCCCGAAACTGCTGTGTTAGCAGTCCTGCCAGCCTGGACAGTGTGTTTGGGGGTTCAGGGCTGCCTAGACAACAAGACCCCCTTCTCAGCCTGGCTTATATGGTCCCAAGGAAAGCAGAGCAGTACGTTAGGCACCAGCTTGGCAGCAGGAGTTGAATGAAGAAGATGTGCAGGACACCATCCAACTGTCTTAGAGAGTCCACTCTGGATTTGTGTAATTTCTCCTCCATAGCCTTTTCTTCTCCTGAAGATAACTCACGAGGAAGCGAAGGAGTGCACCAAAGTATTACGACCAAAGTTTTCCTTCTCGAGGAGCTCCCTTCCCAGGTTGATGAGCCCCATCTGCCCTTCGCTTTCCTCTGCAGAATGGGCAGAATCTGCCTTCTTGACTGTGGGATTCACTGTTGTTCTCATCCTCTCCATCCACCAGGGCCTTTCTTCACCTGCAGCAGAATTCCCCAACCCACCAAGAATTTGAGACCCATCAGGTATCCTCACCTGGTTTAGCCGGTCGGTTGAAGCTGTTCCTGGGATTGTGGCCCCTATTCCATCCTGACAGCTTCTGGAAGCCACAGGTGAGAGCTGACTGCAGGGTGGGGACCAATGGTGGATAAATTACCCCAGAAGGTGCATGACATTTCCCCCACCAAAGGTACTACCGCTCCCCTAACACCCCATGACATCGTATGATTATGATCTTTAAGACAGAACAGGAATAAATTCATGTCCCCTTCAAGCCATTAATGAATCAATACTACATTTTCAAGATACTACACATTCCACTAAGTACAGTTTATCTATTTGCCTTGAATATCCTGCTTTTCGGTGTCTTTTTAGGATAGTCCTGCATCAGAAGACGGGCACAAGATCAGACAGCACATCGTTCTTTAAAATATCAAGCTGCTTTATTAACATTGATTGAAGATTTTGAAAGTTGCTCATAAATTACTATCATTTGACATTGCAACTTCACTTGGGAACATGGGTAGGAGGTGAGGGAATGTAGGAGATGTTGAAATAGGAGAAGGTGCAAATGGAGCTTGATGTGTTCTCTTTCCCTTTGTTCTCTTCCTTGAAACCAAAATAGGGTTCCCTTTCCTCCCACTCTGAAGAAGGAGATGGAGAAGACAGTCAGAACTCCAGGGGATGGGGCACAATTCCTCCCCATTAGGGATAGAAATTAAAATGTGTGAAATGCGGAATATGCATCATTGAATGAGCACACATAGTTCACATCAATGACCTCCAGCAGGGGAGAAACCGTTTAAAGGTATGGAGTGTGGGAAACGTTTCACTGATATTGGAAAACTTAGAACAAATCAGCGGACTCAGATGGGCAGGAAAGGACTGCAATGCGGGGAGTGTGGGAAGAACTTCAGTCAACATGGACACTTAAGATTACATCAACGGACTCACACAAGGGAAAAAACTTTTAAATGTCTGGATTGTGGAAAGAGCTTCTATCGGAGTGATAAACTTAGGAGACATCAACAGATTCACACGGGGGAGAAACCATTTAAATGCATGCAGTGCGGAAAGAGCTTTTCTAATAATGAAAACCTTAGAAGACATCAACGGACTCACACAGGAGAGAAACCATATAAATGTATAGAGTGCGGAAAGAGCTTTTCTAATAATGAAAACCTTAGAAGACATCAACGGACTCACACAGGAGAGAAACCATTTAAATGCCTGGAGTGCGGAAAGAGCTTTTCTAATAATGAAAACCTTAGAAGACATCAACGGACTCACACAGGAGAGAAACCATTTAAATGCCCGGAGTGCGGAAAGAGCTTTTCTAATAATGAACACCTTAGAACACATCACCGGACTCACACAGGACAGAAACCATTTAAATGCCTGGAGTGCGGAAAGAGCTTTTCTAATAATGAACACCTTAGAACACATCACCAGACTCACACAGGAGAGAAACCATTTAAATGCCTGGAGTGCGGAAAGAGCTTCAGTCGGAATGGAGACCTTAGAACACATCAACGGACTCATACAGGGGAGAAACCATATAAATGTATGGAGTGTGAGAAGAGGTTTCGTATTAGTGAAAGCCTTAGAAGACATCAACGGACTCACACAGGGGAGAAACCATTTAAATGCTTGGAGTGCGGAAAGAGCTTCAGTCAGAATGGAGACCTTAAATTACACCAGCGGATTCACACAGGGGAGAAACCATATAAATGCCTGGAGTGCGGAAAGAGCTTCAGTCAGAGTGGACACCTCAATATACATCTACAGACTCACACAGGGGAGAAACCATATAAATGTATGGAGTGCGGAAAGAGCTTTAGTGATAATGGAAACCTTAGAAGACATCAACGGACTCACACAGGGGAGAAACCATTTAAATGTTTGGATTGTGGAAAGAGCTTCAGTCAGAATGGAGAACTTAAATTGCACCAGAGGATTCACACAGGGGAGAAACTATTTAAATGTTTGGAGTGTGGAAAGATATTTAGTGATAATGGAAACCTAAGAAGACATCAACAGACTCACACAGGAGAGAAACCATTTAAATGCCTGGAGTGCGGAAAGAGCTTTTCTGATAATGAAAACCTTAGAAGACATCAACGGACTCACACAGGAGAGAAACCATTTAAATGTCTGGAGTGCGGAAAGAGCTTTTCTGATAATGAACACCTTAGAAAACATCAACGGACTCACACAGGGGAGAAACCATATAAATGTATAGAGTGCGGAAAGAGCTTTACTGATAATGGACACCTTAGAAGTCATCAACGGACTCACACAGGGGAGAAACCATATAAATGTATAGAGTGCGGAAAGAGCTTTAGTGCTAATGGAACCCTTAGAAGACATCAACGGACTCACACAGGAGAGAAACCATTTAAATGCCTGGAGTGCGGAAAGAGCTTTACTGATAATGAACACCTTAGAAGACATCAACGGACTAACACAGGACAGAAACCATTTAAATGTCTGGAGTGCGGAAAGAGCTTTTCTGATAATGAACTCCTTAGAAAACATCAACGGACTCACACAGGGGAGAAACCATATAAATGTATAGAGTGCGGAAAGAGCTTTACTGATAATGGACACCTTAGAAGTCATCAACGGACTCACACAGGGGAGAAACCATATAAATGTATAGAGTGCGGAAAGAGCTTTAGTGATAATGGAACCCTTAGAAGACATCAACGGACTCACACAGGAGAGAAACCATTTAAATGCCTGGAGTGCGGAAAGAGCTTTACTGATAATGAACACCTTAGAACACATCAACGGACTCACACAGGGGAGAAACCGTATAAATGTATAGAGTGCGGAAAGAGCTTTACTGATAATGGACACCTTAGAAGTCATCAACGAACTCACACAGGGGAGAAACCATATAAATGTATAGAGTGCGGAAAGAGCTTTAGTGATAATGGAACCCTTAGAAGACATCAACGGACTCACACAGGAGAGAAACCATTTAAATGCCTGGAGTGCGGAAAGAGCTTTACTGATAATGAACACCTTAGAAGACATCAACGGACTCACACAGGGGAGAAACCATTTAAATGCTTGGAGTGCGGAAAGAGCTTCAGTCAGAATGCAACCCTTAGAAGACATCAACGGACTCACACAGGGGAGAAACCATTTAAATGCATGGAGTGCGGAAAGAGCTTCAGTCAGAATGGAATCCTTAGAAACATCAGCAGACACACAGGGGAGAAACTGTTTAAATGTATGGCCTGTGGAAGGAGCTTCAGTCAGACTGGAACCCTTGATTTATGTCAACAAACTCACACAAAACACAAACCTTATAAATATCAGGAAAGTAGATAGAGGTTCAGTCCTAGTACAAGATCTAAATCAACCAATTCACAGACAGGAAGAACTTTAGGAGTTGAAGCCATACAAACAATCAACAAACTCAAAGAGGAGAAGCAGTTTAAATGAAAAGATTGCAAAAGTGCTTTATTTACATACACTTCAGGTTACAGACTCTGCTAACCCAGAAATAGTACCTTGAGTTATGTACTTTGCTTCAGCATGAGAACAGAAATGGTGCTCCAGTGGCGTGGCGGCCGCAGGTGGCCCCATTAGCTAAAGTGGTGCTTCAGGTTAAGAACAGTTTCAGGTAAAGAACAGACCTCTGGAACAAATTAAGTACTTAACCCGAGGTACCACTGTATGGTTGTAAACCAAGGTTCCACTGTATACCCCCAAAGGCTTTAAAAACTCCTAGGTCTGGCCAATAAACTCAGGAGCCAGGAGGAGATAAGAGTCCGACAATTTTATTACAGGCCGTCAGTATTGGGAATGGGAAAGGACCTTTCAACTTTTTAAAGAAAATTATGGGATGAGAGACTACTCAACAGCCCAGCTCGCCAGGGTACAAGTCCCCTGTGGGTCCATGCGGTCAGTAAATGAAGGAAATTCCAGCCAAGCAATTTGGAGCAAAGAGCAGTCAGTAGACTGAGATCCTTTATTGTTGTGCAACAGGTTCAAACAGCAGTGAGGGAACTCTGACCCTGGGGCGACATTGACTTTTTAAACTTTCCCACCAAATCCCAGGATACAGTTCGCACAGCATCATCAATGCATCATTGCTACATCACTAAAACGTCAGAAAGGGGAGGATTACACAAGATTAGCATAGACAGATATGTCAGGGCAACACCCAAGTACAATATTAGGCAAACATGTCTCAAGTACCCACCACCCAAAAGGACAACAGAACTTCCTTTAATGTCTGCAGCCTGGTGAGATTTGGCTGGTGATGAGATTTGGCTTCCCTTGGCTAACAGTGAGCCCAGCAATTGTCACCTCTGAGCATTTCCTGGGGTAGGAGGTGTGTCTACACATCTTCACCCTTGGGGAGGTGGTGCTGGTTTCTGTGTGTTGCCACTGTGCCATGCTCTTGGAGTCACAAGACTCTGTTTTGCATTCCAGAGACATTCCAGACTGTTGGAAGTCTCACGGAAGACAGGAGACGGATGTGATGTTACTGTTTCCTGTTCCTTTGTTTTTCAGTTGCTCTCTGCTTTCACAGAGAGAGCATGTATATTTCTTTTCTGTCTGCGTAGTTAGAAATAAACTCTTTAACGATGTAGCTAATAAACGTCTCGTCCTTCCCTGCGTTCTGGATACTCTGCTGAATGGGGAGTGTGCTTGGAGCCTCATCAAAGGCTCAGGTCATTAATCATCATCAGAGGAGCTCCGTCGAACCCAAGTCGGACAGGTGGCAGGAAAAAGAGTCCTTTTTCCAAGGGCAAAATAACTTTGGAATGGAGGAAACTGGCAAAGGAGTTGATTTTATATGATTTTTTTAAAGCTAGGTATCTTCCCTGAGCTGTCAAGCCAAAAGGATACATTCAGGCATAATATTTGTAACATTTAACAACTTTAAAAATGTGCCCCACCCCGCCTTGTAATTTCTGTAACAAATACTTTCCTGAGATTTTTTTCTTTTGGGGTGTGTGTCACAGTTCAGCTTCATTCAGAAGAAAACATTGCTAAAGGAGGGGAAATACAAAATGCACATTGAAAACAGCATAATCAGCAAGAGAATAAAATATTATCATAATCCTAGAACCCTGCCTATATCTTGCTTTTCACCACTTCTGGGTCTTAAAGCAGCTTCCCCCTCTTTCCTCACAGCCTCAGCCCTCTTGGCCGAGATAGAGACAATAAAATACTGAGACATACACAGAGCTGGGAGCCGGTTATTGCGGGGGGGGGGTTCTCCCCCCCTCTCTCACACACACAGGTGGCCCTCCCAGCCCCAGCTCCCCTGGCTGAGCTGGAAACACGAGTCTCAATGCAAAGCACACAAAAGAAAGCTCTCCCCCCAAAAAATGTGCAATTTAACTACTAGCAAAGCACACAGAGCATCCCCCCCCCTTTTCCCTGAGACACACACAAAGCTGACAGCCCACGGCTCCCTCCATTTCAAGGAACGGGGGTCCCGCACAGCCCTCAGGGCACCTCAGCATCCCATAGATCAGTGTTTCCCAACCTTTTTTGGGCAAAGGCACACTTGTTCCATGAAAAAAATCTCGAGGCACACCACCATGCCAGATGGGGAAAGGTCACTTTTTACTTATGTAAAAAATAAATAAAAAAAATAGTAACAGCATAGAAGGTAATGGTTAGGCTAGCATCCCTCTTCCAAATATGCTAGGTTTTTATTTGCAGGGACTGTTCTACATGGGAAAGCATTCAGCACTGTCATTCTCCCATCTGCCATCTGAATTGGTACTATTCTGGGTCAACTTACTCTGCTGCATGTGTAGATGAAAATGGCACCAAGTGTGGGGGGTTTTGGCCCTCTCTGAAGTGCTTCTCTGCAAGATATGGTAGGATGTGTTACACAAGTAAACACTTGCAGGGTATGATAAAGAGAGCATTCCAAGAGTGACTTGGGATGCTATGAAGATGCTGCAAAAGTGGGCATGTGATTATTGCACGCCTTAAGCTAATGCTGAATACCCAAGAGTGTACAACTGGACTGCTGAATCCTAACTGGGTGTACTGAAAAGATGCTGGATGAGACCCAGACCAATAGTACCTGCAAAAGCAGTGTTATTAAAAGCAGCTTTCCCTTTGAACATCTCTTTGTTCAAAGTGCATCTGAAGGCCTAATGACCCACTGGTTCCTTAGGAGTGAGCTTTAATGCAAGGATTTTGATGTTAATCCATGGATCAGATGTGTGTGTGTGGATAATCGCATTGTTGGACAGTCCTTTCTGCCTGTTGGCCGTTAGCCAACGACCCCCTCCTCCGCCTGAATGAAATGTGCCCCGTGGGAGCGTTGGGACATCAGAACCACGAGTTATAGTTATCAGGGGCGCCGACTTATAAAAAATATTGGGGGGGCCCATACCGGGGTCCTGCCGCTGGTTCGCTCGGGTAGCCGGGAGAACGCAGTTCAAGGTGGCGGTGTTGGGGAGAGACCCTCGCTCAGGGCGCCACGAGACTTGGCGGCCGGCGGCCTATCTGGGGGGTTTTGGAGCATATTTCGGCGGAGCGATTGGGGAGGAGGGGGCTTGTTGCCGGATTCTTCAGCTGGGCCGGAGATCCGCTGCTGGGGGTCCCTGGGCCGAGTTGTGAGCACGGCCTGCTGAAGGGAGATCCAGCCGATTGCGCGACGGGGACGGCCGGGGCTCTCCGGCTAGGGCGCGCGGCTGGCTGGCTGGCGAGGGAGCAGGTGGGGAGGAGGCGGGGGTCCTCACTCTCTTAGGAAACGCACCCGCGCGCCCGATTGCCACGAAGTCTGAAGGGTGCGTGTGTGGAATTAAAAAGCAAAAACGAGATACGGGCAGGGCAGGCAAAGAGTTTTCCGCAAGAGGATGGAGGGCAGGTTGAAGAGAAAATCACTCAGGATGAGACAGTCAAATCAGCCATGATAAAATGGGCTCAGGATATTGGGTATAACATCATGTTTGAGGACTGGGAAAGGTTATGGACCACCGGAATGAAATTCACGGCATGTAATGCCTTGAAGGAAAATATTATGAAAATGATTTATAGGTGGTACATGACCCCAGTCAAGCTTGCAAAAATATATCACCTGTCTGATAATAAATGTTGGAAATGTAAGGAGGCTGAAGGGACATTCTTTCACCTCTGGTGGACTTGTCCAAAAGTGAAGGCCTTCTGGGAAATGATCTATAATGAGTTAAAAAAGGTATTTAAGTATACCTTTCCCAAGAAACCAGAGGCCTTCCTCTTGGGCATTGTTGGCCAGAAAGTGTTAAAGAAGGATAGAACTTTCTTTATGTATGCAACTACAGCAGCAAGAATACTTATCGCAAAATATTGGAAGACACAAGATTTGCCCACACTGGAAGAGTGGCAGACGCAATTGATGGACTACATGGAACTGGCTGAAATGACTGGCAGAATCCGAGATTTGGGAGAAGAAACAACGGAAGAGGACTGGAAAAAATTTAAGGACTATTTCCAAAAGCAATATAAGTTGTATGAATGTTAAAAATTTACACGATTCGGAAACTATAGCTTCAGCAATTAGATTTGGGAAACAGGAAATTATATTTTAAGTAAGAAAAGGTCAAAATCTAAGGTAATACTATGTTTAATTTAAGATATAAGTAACTGATGAAAAGTATGTTAAATTTAGAGGTATAGTATTTGAAAAGTACAAAATAAGGTACGAAACAAGGTAATAATTTGCTGATATCTTTATTATAAAGAATGCAGGGTAAGGGAGATGCGAGGAAGTCCAGTTAGTTATATAAAAAATGTGTTGAATGGTTGGTTTTCTTTTCTTCTTTTTCTTTTTTTCTTTTTCTTGTTCTTTTACTTTTTTCTTCAGTGTATGTTTCTAACTTTGTATTTGAAAACTTAATAAAATATTTATATATAAAAAAAGGGGAAATCCTTTCGCTTTTCTGGGGCTCAGGGAAGTCTCAGAGCCGGAGGTTGGGGAAGGGACCCCCTTTGCTCTGCCCTCTTCTCCCGTCTTAGATTCGCATGGGGGTCCCCGCCCGAGCTTGCCTGGCCACCGGGCCACACAAGGGCCGCGCTCTACGCGGCGCACCTTGCTAGCCGCGCAGCTGTCCTCCGCGGCTGCGGAGCGGCCCTGCGCCGGTGCCCAGCCCCTCTGGGCGCCCGCTGCGCTGCCAATGACAAGCGGGCGACGTCGCGGGCGGGGAAGGCGTCACTTTCTTTCCCGATCCTGCATCCTCCCAGTCTTCCAGCCCTTTTTTGGGTTG